TACACTGTGCAACAAAGGAAATCAGAGATGTATGAATGTAGGTTAGATCATGTGAGTGAAAAAGTCTTCCCATTCTTTCTAAGGTTACCTAAAGCCTTTTACCATGAAATTGAAACCATTTAAACTTTGTTCAATTCATTGTATTTTGCCTTTATTGTCAAGTCTGTATTCAAGACTATTGGCCTTCCTAGCTGAAGCTTATACTAGTTTTCGTAGCATGAAGTGACTGAGAGTATCAATACTCCCCCCCTGGATGGGATGCTAGTCCATCACAAGGTTTCCCCTCCTAACATTTCATCAGACTTCCCTAACTATTCATCAGTACCCATCTATACTTCTGGGTGGGGAGAGACACTGTGAGAGGAAAGTGTTTTGCACAAGGACATAACACAATGACCTGGCCAGGTCCTGAACCCAGACCCCTGAACCCAGACCCCTGAACCCAGACCCCTGAACCCAGACCCCTTGACTGGTGTCCAGCACACTGAACATCTGGCACCAGTGATTCCACAGGCTTTCATACCTGGCTACTTAAGTTTTTTGGAGGAAATTACATTTTTAAAGGTCTTTACTGTTGATTTTGTGTGAAGGAGGAGGAGGAGATGAACCAAAAGAAAAGTAGCAATCTCCAGATTTCTGATCTACAACACTATTTAAAAAGTTAGCATCTCTGTTACATTCAGCCTTACACAACCACCATTCTGCGAATGTGGAATTCTCTATTACCACCCATTTTTTGCCCCTCACTGAACCCTTTACCAGCGTTCCCCTTTTCAGGTAGTAACTGGTAACATTGACTGCCTGTAGTACCTCTTGTTACCATTTAAAATTGCTTGGAATTCTTGAAAATTCAAAAGTAATGTAAAAGGATTGCTTTACCAGTTTGAAAATTTATTTTACCTGTTATGCTTAAAATAAGAGAGAACACTGCTTTATACCTTAACATCAGTATGAATATTCTCCACACTGTTCTCTAAACATTTCCTAAGATGCCAACATGGAGAATTTGTCTAACAATCAAGAACTTCTTTGGTCAGTGATCAGCTCCTTTATTCTCCTGACCTTAATGTTTGATTCAGGGGGATATGGTAAGGAGAAATTAGATGCCAGTCACTCTTAGGGGTTAAGGGGTTAAGCAGACGAAACCTCTGGTTGCAGTACAGCTTATTAAAAACACATTGTTGAAGTAAGAACCAAAAAAAAAAAACAACCACTTATTAAAACTGTTTAACTTCCATTAACTCCCAAGATCTGATTGTTAATTCTCCTCTCTAGCTGCTACACACTACCTTGTAAATAAGTTATGAGAATTTGGTGTTAAATCAAAATAAAAACATCTTCCTGATAAATTTGAGTATTCTCGTTACCTGTTTGCTGGATAATATATGAATATTATAGGGAGAAGTTACATGGTAATCACTTCTGGCAATTGAAGGGTTAGGAAGAGAAAAATTCTTGATACTGGCAATAACATAACCTTCCCACCCACCTGCTGCCCCCTTCCCCTCCCCCCCTTAATGACCTACAGGCCTGGCTGGGGTGGGGAATTTAAACTGGAGGTGTCAAGTCTGGTCAGTGGAATACAAGCATATATGGAGATGTTTAACCCTTTCAGTCATAAGATCTGCTGGTTAATTCTCCCCTCTGGCTGCTACACATTTCCTTGTAAATAATTAATGAGTGTTTGGTGTTACCTGATAAGTTTGAGTATTCTCATTACATGTTGGCTGGATAATGTGTGACTGTTATAGGGAGAAGTTACATGTTAATCACTTGTGGGAGTTAAAGGGTTAAAGGTAAAAAGCTAAAAAGAAATGTTCTACAAGGTCCAGGTTGTAATGATCACTGATTCTGCCTTTTTTTGAAAAAACTGGGAGGGGGTTTTTGAATGCAACTTTTGCCCCAAGATGTGGAAATTTGAACAAACCAATCTTTGAAAGTTCCCAAGGAGGGGGGGGGGAGAGGAGGTGGGAATGTTGAAGCTTCTAATTGATCAACACAATACAGTGTCATTTAGAAAGCTGTGCAGGAGATGAGAAGATTCACATTGTATATGAGACTCCTGGATATATTTCTTAAGTAAACACCAGTAATATATAGATTTAGCCAAGCCTAAAAGCGGAGCTCACATTTTTTTTTCCCACACATCTCAAGGGCACAACGCCTTGCCCCAGCCAGGACTAGAACCCAGGTCATCCAACTCAGAGCCCAGTGTACTGACCACTGAACTACTGGACAAAACCTTGTACAGTCGTACGGTCATACAGTCATATGGTTGTACGGTCGTACATCCAAATTTTTTCGGCTTGATGGGTTACTACTATTTTGTATAATCCAGGTGGTACTGGATCAACTTCTGGTGAGGTTCTTCTTTTTCAATCCCTAGTATCGCAACCTGCATTCTTAATGAGAATTATTTGTAGAATTTTAACACTTTCTCCATCTCCCAAGATCTCATTAGTAATTCTCCCTACTGTCTGCCATACAACTCTCATGATGTTCATTGGGAGAATTTGGTATTGAAGTAATTATTGAGACTGCTGTTTCCCAAGAACACAAATATCTACCAATTCTGAGGGCTGAAAGTTGTGGCCTTCCACTCAATGCATTGGAAAGGATATCGGAGCAAACCCTCAGTTGTTCACTCATGCCACTCAAGGGGTAGCAAAAGTAATTTCTGAGGCCTTCTTCACTAAGATGACCGGGGATCACCCTGATAAACTAGCTGCGATGGACCTTAGCACGATAACAGTCACTCCAACACCCTCATGATTTGTATGAATTTTAACAGTTGTGCCAGTTTGGCTATATTTTTCATGATAACTGTTTTGTTCTGTTTTGTTTTAAAACACAAAACTATATTTACTACATGAGTGTTAGCTGTGTTTGATTTTTATTACCATATGTACGCTTACAATCTAACCAAGCGTCAAAATCTTTAAAACTCTAACTGTTTGTTTCATTTTCTCCTTGAGGATTTTTGTCTCTGCTCACATTATAATTACATAAATTATGGTGCTTGGCATGTTAAAAAAACTTTGCCAGGTGCATCTGTTTCTGCTTGCTGGCTCACATTGTTTCTAAATTTCACTTTCACATAACCAAAAAAAGCTGGAGAGAAATCCAGGAAACGGTTGCACATACTTCAAACTGGTGGATGGTGGGACAATTTTAGCTCAGCTCTATACTTTGAATTCAGATAGAGCACACTCTGTCAACCAATGACAGCACCTGTTGTATCTGAACTTTATTATAAAAAGATATAGGGGGTAAGTTTCTAAAGAAACTATAGTGTAGCATTGGTGGGGGTTTATAAAAAGATAATTTTGCTTTACCAACTGAGTTAATAACCTAAATTAACCACCATGACAAGTTTCTAGGCTGAAGTTTCAAGCATTAGCCTTTCATCAGAGTGAATAGAGGGATAGTGGGTTGTGCATGTGTTATGCCAAAAGTAGAGCTTTGCTATTGGGTGGAGACATAGTGATGAAAATAAAACAAGATTAAGGGTGCTGATTTGAAAAAAAAATTTGTCTCTAGACAAGCAATATATTGCTTTGCAGATTATACAGGAGAATTTAGACATACATCAAGAAACCACCCTCTGGCTGATAAGTTTGTCTCTTCTCATAATCTGTTTGTAAGATAATATAATGAAATCCCAAGAAGAAATTACATCTAAATCATTTTTGGGACTTTAAGGGT